AAGAAATGATTTAGTTTAATCATTAATCCAATGGGGCGCCTTGATACCAGTCGGCTTTATATCACTATGTATTCGCAATTTCATTATTATTTTCTGTTTTTTTGTCGTGTGTGTAAGCTGAATCCTGATTTATTATTTTGGTGTCTCCTGAGCGAACTTTAAAAGCGTGCACTTAAGTAAGCAAGCGCTGACGTGATGCGATTAGTATGAGGTGCTAACAATGACTTTAAGAGCACGAAAGAATTTAATTGGATATCAATAAATCGTTCGTACTCTGTTTGTATGACGCTCAATCTTTTTACCATTTTGTAACTTGTATGGTCTATCGGAAGATATCCAATATTAGGAAGGAGGAAAACAATTAGGTTTCCATCGTTATAGCGGAAACCCATTACACTTCACCTGGAACTATATAAAATCTAGTACAATTCATATTGGTCTAAATGAATAATTTACGAGTTAGCTAATTATTTGATGTTGTTGATGATCATAATGGGAAGGAGATAGAAATTGCAGTAAAAATTTTGACAAAAGGAAAATATTTCGATACTTTTTCATGTCGATATAATCCTATCTTGTCAGTGAAGAAGAAGAAGCCGAAAGCGTTCAAACATGACGACTAACTTTGCGATATTCCCCCCCCCCCCGCAAGTATTATGCACCAACCCGTCTGCGTACTTTCATTTCGTATGCACATCTTTGTCCCCCTAAATTTGGGCCAATTGGAAGTAGCCTCAAAGGAGACAGGTATTTTGTTAGTTAAACCAGTTTAGTTGACTAATTAAAAGGCGTGAGCGATAGACTTACCTCCACGTGGTCCACATTGGGCAACGTATACTCATATGGCAGTTGACTTCTGACTTCCAAATACCATGACCCCAGTGTATGGAATACTCGACTACTTCCACAGTACTCACCTCACCTTTTTTCTACCTTAGTGTCTGTCCGTCTCTTTTACATCTTTGAAACACTCTTCTGTTCCCTCCCCTCTCGATTTTTTTTTTCACTTTGATATTTCTTTGTGAGGCCTGAAGTCACCTAAAGGGCTAATGAAACTATCAAAATCCCTGCCATGTGATATGAATAAATAAATTGACTAATTAAAACGGTGGGAAGTAAAATGCCCACTAATAACCCCTAAACAACCTTAGATATTTAGTGATGATGGCTTCACTTTGGCGAATTAGTATAAACCACTCTTGCCGCTAGAATAACTCGGAGAAGGCTGACAAACTGTCGGCATAGTTTGTTGTTCAAGATATCTAACACACACACACACACACACACACACACACACGCGCACAATCATTTACTTGTGTGACGTCAGTCGACGTCTATGTGCGCTGTCGAGTTGATACACGCACACTTGAATCGCCTCCGTAAGACGTTATTGTTAAGTTCAATTGATGCTCAAAAATCGGGGTGCGCGATAGACTTACCTCCACGTGGTCCCCACTGGGCAATGTATACTCATACGGCAAAAAGTCAATTAACTGGCAGTTGACTTCTGGCTTCTAACTACCATGACCCCACTGTATGGAATACTCGACTACTTGCACAGTACTCACCTCACCTTTTTTCTACCTTTGTGTCTCTCGCTTTTACATCTTTAAACCACTCTTCCGTTCCTCCCTATCGACTTTTCTCACTTTGATGTTCCTCCTCCCCTCTATGAACCCCATAGTCAACTAAAGGGCTAATGATACCTATCAAAACGCCTGCCATTTGAAATAAATAAAAAAAATGTTCAATAATCCGCAACGCGTTGTTTAAATGCAATGGACTAATATTGCCTACAATTTAATTATCTGTTTCTTATGATAATTTAAGGAAATGTATGGTGGCGGTATTTGTAAATTGAACTACTAAGAAATTAGTGCATTTACATAGAAAATGCAATCAAAAGCTCAAATGAACCAATTTTGTACAATGTTAAATCACCTCAGTGTGGCATGTAGATGGTGGAATGTTTGACTCAACGCTGAGGTCACACGATGGTAGACCCCAACGGAGTTGGTGGGAACATCACTCTCTGTATGGCAACCGGAAACCAAATGAACTAAGTCATTAATATTCTCCAATCTTTAAGCGTTTTCACCTAGTAGAAAATGTGTCGTTCGTTAACGTACAATGCTACCGGATTTACTGCTGAGCAATCCACTTTACTAAAAGCGGATTGAATAAAGCTCAATCCATCCCACCCCCCACCCCCCCNCCCCCCCCCCCCCCCCCCCCCCCCCCAACTGCCGGTGTCAGCAATTACCATGCAATTGCTAGTCCATTGGGAATGCGCTAGTTAAATCGTGCACATGATGGAATTAATAAAATTGGGCCGTTATCTCCTCCTTAAAGTAAATTAGTTTCATTATATTTTGTAGCATTCAGCGCGCTTGGTCTCTAAGGGACAATTGTTTGAAAAATCGATTCGTTTCAACGAAATTTCATTTCCCCTATGCAATATCAATGTTCAAAGCTGATTAGACAGTTTGATTAATCGATGGAAGTGTCCAGTCAAGCTTTAGCCAATCAGTGATCATCTTGGTTTAATCCATGCATGCTTGAATAGGGCTTTAAAAGAATCGTTCGGTGAGATCTCGGTTAAGCTGTTAACATCTATCATTCGACAACATGCAGAGCTAGTATCCAATAGGCCCCCTCTGGGAGGAGAGTAAAATGAGTCATTTTCTCTATATAGATTATTTG